AAATAATAATAAAGAAAGTCAAAAGTCCCGATAGGATATATCCTATGCAAAAGTTAGGGATACAAAAAAGTAATGACTTCCAGAGTTGAAAGTCAAAGGACAACTCAGGTATCCTTGTCAAAAAAAAAAAAAGAGAGAGAAACAAGACTCCATGAAAATTCTATGCCAAAACTCTATTGTCGCTCCTACCTACAGTCACCTCCTATGAAAGGCTATAGATACATCAAACAAGAGGAGGACTAGCTCTATAGTCAAATTACCCAGGCCTCTCTAAGGGGAAACCTCCTTCTACTTCTCTGTGTATGAATCACGAACTCAGCGTATGCTCAGGCCTTTGAGCTACATTAAAAGGGCATATGTAAATTAAAAATATTATCTTTACTGCCATACATCTTTCTACTTCAATTCTTTTCCTCCTTCAACATTCTAAGCCTTGTCAACAAACCTTAAATGAACACGCATATTTAAAATAGGAACGTCATTAAAAACAATGGCTTAATATGCGATAAGGAACACATAAAGATCAATCAAATTTGGCATGACTTGTGGATAGAAGTCTAAACAAAATGAGTGCAAAGGGCATCCCCCTTTAATGAAGGAATGAAGAATGATCACAAATGTTGCAAAAAAAATAAAAGCCTGGAAGGAAACCCACTAAGGGGGTTGCGCAAAAGTTAGGGCAAGGTCTGCTAGGAGACTCACGAACAAAAAGGGTAACCTAGGTAAAAGCAAGGATCGAAAAAGAAATGTCTGCTAGGAAACACATCTCAAGTTACCTAGAAAAAAGTTAGGACAAAGCAGCATCCCGAACTGAAAATCGAGAGACAGTTCGGGAAGATCATTTAATCAATAAGCAGCCTCAAGTCATCGTTTAACTTTGAAAGGAATATTAAGCTAATGCGGAAAATGGTTTTCTTACTTTAAATAAAAAAGAGAGAGAAACAAGACTCCATGAAAATTCTATGCCAAAACTCTATTGTCGCTCCTACCTACAGTCACCTCCTATGAAAGGCTATAGATACATCAAACAAGAGGAGGACTAGCTCTATAGTCAAATTACCCAGGCCTCTCTAAGGGGAAACCTCCTTCTACTTCTCTGTGTATGAATCACGAACTCAGCGTATGCTCAGGCCTTTGAGCTACATTAAAAGGGCATATGTAAATTAAAAATATTATCTTTACTGCCATACATCTTTCTACTTCAATTCTTTTCCTCCTTCAACATTCTAAGCCTTGTCAACAAACCTTAAATGAACACGCATATTTAAAATAGGAACGTCATTAAAAACAATGGCTTAATATGCGATAAGGAACACATAAAGATCAATCAAATTTGGCATGACTTGTGGATAGAAGTCTAAACAAAATGAGTGCAAAGGGCATCCCCCTTTAATGAAGGAATGAAGAATGATCACAAATGTTGCAAAAAAAATAAAAGCCTGGAAGGAAACCCACTAAGGGGGTTGCGCAAAAGTTAGGGCAAGGTCTGCTAGGAGACTCACGAACAAAAAGGGTAACCTAGGTAAAAGCAAGGATCGAAAAAGAAATGTCTGCTAGGAAACACATCTCAAGTTACCTAGAAAAAAGTTAGGACAAAGCAGCATCCCGAACTGAAAATCGAGAGACAGTTCGGGAAGATCATTTAATCAATAAGCAGCCTCAAGTCATCGTTTAACTTTGAAAGGAATATTAAGCTAATGCGGAAAATGGTTTTCTTACTTTAAATATGCTTGTTCATCAGCCTAAACACTAGCCAACCTCGGCCAACCGTTCTTCTAGAATCAACAAAAAAAAATCCTTTTAAAACAAATCTTTTGAAAAATCAAAAATATCCCTTTCTTTCTCTTTTCTTAACCGATATGGCATTAAGACAGTATTAAGAGATACACGAAATATGCACAAAGGGAAAAGTTGGAGGTGTCCTAAAACAGAGTCTAGATATACCTGATCTAAGAGCTAACATATCATATCCAGTACAAACGAGAGGACTGAACTACACAAACCTTAAGTTCAAGAAGCAACACTTGGAATTCGACAGGACTAAAGGTTGACAATCCACATCATCAATTAATGCGCATAGATCAATTTCTTGAAAGCAAAAAAACAAATTTGCATTTTAAGCATTAGCGTAGAGACATCATTGCATAGCATGCATATGGCATAAGGATGCACAAAAAAGGTATATATATATAAATAAATAAAATTAAAAAAAATTAGAAAATTCAATCTATTCCTGCCATTCCTACCTTGCATTTTCATGTACATCCACGCATCCATGCTTTATACTTGCCATGGGGCATCCACAACCATCCATCGATAATCAAACAATCGGTCATCAACAAACTGAAAAGACCATGCATCATGCCTGGAGAGGCATCACAATACTCACACGATAGGGGCAACACCAGAATTCCCATTACCCATCCACCTCTTTGCCCACCAACACAGGGGCACATCAAACATCTCCTACCCATCTACCTAGGGGCAGTCTTTCATCCCACAACACCAACAAGAAAAGCCAAAAAGGAAGCACAAATTCCAATTGACAACATTTGAACAAAAGACAAAAGCAACCCAAATTAGAGGCATCACGACACACCTTCTACCCAACATCCTTGGGGCAATATCTACCACAAGTCAAGCAAACCAATGAGGGCAACGATAGTTTCCTCAAAATACAACAAAGGTCTGGAGAGACTGTTCTCACATCCCAATCTGGTATATGACAAAGCCATGAGGGAAAGGTCTAGAGAGACTGTACTCACCTCCCAATCCGGTATACGACGAAGCCGTGAGGGAAAGGTCCAGAGAGACTGTACACACCTCCTAATTCGGTATACGACAGCCATGAAGGAAAGGTCTGGAGAGACTGTACTCACCTCCCAATCCGGTATATGACAAAGTCGTGAGAGAAAGATCTGGAGAAACTATACTCACCTCCCAATCCTGTATACGACAAAGCCGTGAGGAAAAAGTCTGGAGAGACTATACTCACATCCCAATCCGGTATACGACAAAGCCATGAGGGAAAGGTCTGGAGAAACTGTACTCACCTCCCAATCCGGTATATGACAAAGTCGTGAGAGAAAGATCTGGAGAAACTATACTCACCTCCCAATCCTGTATACGACAAAGCCGTGAGGAAAAAGTCTGGAGAGACTATACTCACATCCCAATCCGGTATACGACAAGGCCGTGAGGGAAAGGTTTGGAGAGACTGTACTCACCTCTCAATCCGGTATATGACAGAGTCGTGAGGGAAAGGTCTAGAGAGACAGTAGTCACCTCCCAATCCGGTATACGACAAAGCCGTGAGGGAAGCTGAGCTACAAAAATACTCCCTCTTCAACAAGCTACAAGTAAAAGAACGCATTATCATAAGAGAAACAATGGAGCATCTACTTGAAGACCGAAGGTCAGGTGTACAGTTCATCAACCTTGTTACCCAATAGAGTACGCAACCAACACTCAACTGCTCTAAAGGGCGAGGATACGAGCAAATACACCTATCTAAGAAAAGTAACCTAGAAGCACCAACACAGAGATGGAGAGAATACCCGGAGGAAATGTCTACGTCTTTACTTGCCTTTGGAAAAACAACACATAGTTATTCCAAAAGAAAAGTAAAGAGGGGCAGCTGTAGACACCCAATTTCGTCCGGGCTCACAAAAACAATGAATTAGACGTCTATTATCAAGGAAAGGAGCTCTCGAAGCATGGAAACAATAAGACATGACATTAGAAGAACTAAAGCCTAAATAAGCTGGTTTTGGTAGCCCAGAACGGGCTATTCCAAGATCGGAACGAGCTGTTCCCAAAACGGAATGGCCCGTTCCAAAATAGGTTGTTATAAGCAAGATTTGAACCCAAAACGGGCCATTTCACTTTAGGAACGGGCCGTTCCAAATTCTTATTTTACTCATAACAAACTTGCTCAGAACGGGCCGTTTTAAAACTGGAACGGGACATTCCAAATCATCAAATGGGACTAAAACCCTAGTTTGGAACGGGCCATTCCGGAACAGCTTATTGTAAGTAAAATTCGAACCTAGAATGGGGCGTTCTACTTTTGGAACGGGCTGTTCCATATTCTTATTTTATCCATAACGGACTAGCCCAGAACGGGCCGTTTTGAATCCGGAACGGGCCGTTCTGGCCCCCTTCTAATTCCTATAAATAGAAGACTCAAGCACAATTCTTAGGGCGGCCAGGAAAATTTTGAATAAGACTCATATGAGCACGAAAATTTCCTATTTATCTCTCTCCTATTGTATTTCTTTCTTGAGATTCGGTGAGGCAATTGTAGTGTGAAAGGTTGCCACAAAGCACCTTGATTTGTCATATGTGAAGATCCAACAAAGCTTGTTACGAGGTATTTCAATCAATCTTCTTCTCTATCTTTTATGTCTTATCTTTATCTTCTTCCCTATCTTTTATTTTTCATGTCTAATAGACATTGTTATAACAAAAACAATCATGTATATATTTTATAGTCAATTATTTAATTTAAATTTCAAACATGTAATTAGTTATCAATAAAAGGGGATTTAATATTTATATTATTATTGTTTATAATGTTAACTTCGTCATAGGGGTGCTTAATACCTTCCTTACACGTAATCGACCCCCGAACCCAATTCTAGTTATCAAGGCCATTATTAGATTTAAAAAAAACCTTTTCTTTTTTCAATGTTTTGAGTAAAACATTGGTGGCGACTCCTAATAACCTATTTTCAAAACCATTGATTAAGGATTAGTCTGGTGTCTAGACATTCTTTAATTGATGAGATTTTCAAAAGAGGTCTAAACCATAGTTTGCAAAATTAGAAATTTTTGAGTTGCGACAACAGTATAGTAATTTTAAGTTCTAATCTTCCATATGCACATACAGTGTCGTTACATTTGAAAATGATGGCTTTTAAAGTTATTTTTTCAGTAAATTTGATTTTTGTTAAGTAGGAACTATGTGATTGAAGTGTGTGGAACACAAATTTTATAGGATGGGCTCAGGTTCTACCATGACTGCACCAAATTGACTTTTTATAGATCTTAATTCCCTACCTAGGGTATGCATGCTTTGAGATAAACTGTATTATCTTGGTGAATTTTTTCTTTGAAGGGAATAATATATGTATTTTATATTTTTGATAAAAAAATAGAGAACTAATATTTTGCCTGGTCTGGTCTAAAGATAAGTGCTGTTTGTCTATTTTGGGTTGGACTTGGCTCTTGGACTGTTAGTTATTTGTGATATTTGTATAGCATATTGTGCTAAAAAAATCTCATTGAACAAATGGGCTCTTTATAAGTTTAAAACAAATGGGCTCAATGTAAAATTTGTGATTGAGGAATTAATTTTAGGCAGATGATAAACACACCTCCACTCTTGTATAAGTATACCCCTTTTTTTAAAAAATATATATAAAATGTCTAAATTATCCTTAAGAAAATGAAATTCCTAAATTTACATCCCCTTCCCCGCGATCCCGGTACCCCACACCCCCCTTCCCGCACCCCACACCCCCCTTCCCCGCAGCCCCAACACCCCACACCCCCCTGTATAAATTTGTGGTGACGTGTGCTTTTGTGTGGGTTAGCTTAGTGAAAGCAAAACATAGAGATGATGATAATGATGAGGAAGGAGAAGAGGTAAAAGAGGAGTACTTTCGTTTTGCAGCAGATTGTAGAGATCGCTTTGAGTACCCTGTACCGGCAACGTACTTCGGAAATTGCTTAACAAAATGTTATGCAGTGCTCAAGAGAAAGGAGCTCAAGGGAGAAGGTGGTTTTTTGAAGGCGGTGAAGGCTATTGCAAGAGCAATAACTGATATGAAAACTGAACCTCTTCAAGGTGCAGAAAATTGGAGGGCATTATTGAGGAAAATATCTATATTGGGAAATACGGTACTAGTTACAGGGTCACCTAACTTTACTGTTTGAGACTGATTTTGGGTTTGGAAAACCTACCAAAGTCGAGATGGTACATTCCCCTAAGTGCATGTCTCTTGCTGAAAATGGGCTGTGGGGTGTTGGGGGTGCGGGGAAGGGGGTGTGGGGTGCAGGATACGGGGAACGAAGTATAAATTTAGGAATTTTATTTTTTTTAAGGATAATTTAGATATTTTATATATCTTTTTTAAAAAAGGGGGTGTGCTTATACAAGAGTGGAGGTGTGTTTATCATCTGCCTTAATTTTATTCAACTTTAAAACAAATGGGCTCTTTAAGTTTAAAGGGAGACCATGTTTTTAACGATCTTTTTATTAGAATAATTTAGTTCAAGTATTTTACATGATCCTTTATAGGACCGTAATTGAGATGAAAACTAAATTTATTCTTTTAAGAATCGGAGTCCTGGTATGATTTTGCATTGTGTTTTATACCTCGTGATTGCATACTTTTTATGTTTGGTTTTTTGGTTAATCAATATGATTTGGGCTAAAATACCTTGAAATATGTTTTTGCTTACTATTTTCATACGCGAAACCAAATATCATAGTGTTATTTCCCTTTAATTTATTTTTAACTCCTCACAAGTGTAATTAAAGTGAATTCTTAGTGTTGCTGGATAAATTTGAACAATTCTAAGGTGGTTAAATATATGTAATTTTCCATGTACCACTAGTAATAGCCTTTAGATTAATCTAAGTCTAGTTATCAATGCTCCAGCAAACCCCTCCTAGTCACACTGCAACGCAACTATTATAATTTGTTTGTGTGATTTTTGTTATTGTAATTTGGTGGTCAAGTTAATCTTGGTGAACAATATTTGTCTATTATATTTATATATGAAAAATATGTCCAAGATTTATATATATGTTCATTACAGGTAATTAGAAATAATCTAAAAACAATAATAATTTTCTTTTTTTTAAAAAAATACAATTTACATCTATTTTTTATAGAACAGATGTAAATTTATACATAAATTTACATCGATTCTCAGGAAAACCGATGTAGATTTGTGTATATTTCTACATTGGTTTTCAGGAAAACCGATGTAGATTTATGCATAATCTACATCGGTTTTAAAACCGATGTAGAAGAGTATAAATTTTCTCTCTTTATTCTACATCGATTTTAGAACCGATGTAAATGACTTCACAGAACCGATGTAGAATATGCATCCTATAGTAGTGTTTGACTTACCTCTTCAAACAATTACTCAAGTATTCTTTTCACAACAAGTATATCCAAACTTAACAACCAAATATTCTTTTGCAAACATGACTTTTCAAGCTTAAAAACCAAATATTGTTTTTCAAACAAGCCTTTTCAAGCTCAACATTACAACAATGGTTATAAAGGTTGCAAAGATGTTGTTTCTTCTTACTTAGATGTTATACAACCAATATAGTGCAATAAGCTTTGTACAAGAAAGAATGAAGTTTATGCACACATAATTTACAGAATGTGTTTATTCTTCTTTTTGAACTTCAAATCTTTTTATATAGTAGCTTTGGAGAGGATGATTGTTGCAACACCATGAGTCCAACTCACAAGTTTGTTTCATCTATCTTCAACATCTTTCCTTGTAATGAGAGGTAATTGTTGACTCATTTAATGCAAACATTAAATGCATTTTACCAAATGATACATCTTATATGATCAAGGTGGATATTTATCATCTTTCAATACCAAATGGAGCTTGTAGAAGCAATGTCAACATAAAGAAACAACAACAACACCTTTGTTTGTAACGCCCGATTTATATTATAAAAATTATATATTTTCTTATATAATATATATATATTTTTAATTATATCATTAACAATATATATTTTTATTTTATTAAAAATGAAGGTAAAGAAAAGAATATTTTGTGAATTTAATACATAACATATTGTTATAAAATATTTAGAATAATGTATTACTTTACACAATATTTCTTTCTTTCACTTCTATTATAATAATAAATAAAATTATAACAGATCCATCAAATAGCCTCCACATTCTCATTTCCTTCCAAGGAAGACAACAACTATAACAACTGCAAGATGATCTGGAATCCCAAGTAGATTCATCTATTTTATAATATATTTAATTTTAAAAACAAAGAAAAGAAAGGAGTAAGAACAATATCCAATAAATACAATAATTCAAAAGAATAAACAGAATTATTTATAATCAAAATTAAACATATATATATATATATAGAAATATATATATATATATATATAAATATATATACAGATCATATATTAGATTTTTATGATACAATAAAATTTGAATTATACTTATAGTGACTAGTCAGGATAAATGAGCATCATCATAATATCAACCAATAAAATGATATTTTACCTTAATCAACAATAGGATATTTCACCTTAATTTATTACTCATTTAAATCCCCAAGGTTAAACCTCCAGCTACAAATAATTCAAACTTTATCGTCTATGGCCATAAAGTATTATTTATCTTTAAAATGAGTCAAAGACATTTTAACAAAATTATATTAATCATAAAAAAACAATCACACTAAATAAATTTAAGAATTTATCATTATTTAAGCTTTAATTAAATAACACAAATTTTAAATAAAATATATTAAGAGCACCAATTAATTAAATGACAATGACAATTATTATAAAATAATTAAACAATATAAAATGTGAATATATTAATAATTATTATGGATAAGAATAATCATAGAATAAGCAATAGTAATTAGAGGTTAAACAAATAGATGAGGTTAGGAACACCTCACTGAATAAATATAACAATAACATAAATAAATAAACAGTAATTAAAAGTTAAGTAGTTAGATGAGGTTAGAAACACCTCACTAAATAAATATACATAAAAAAATAATATAAATAAATAAACATAATAATTAAAAGTTAAACAAATAGATGAGGTTAGAGACACTTTACTAAATAAATATACATAAAAACAATATAAATAAATAAATATAGTAGTATATAAAATTTTAAAGAGATAAATCTTTCCTACGCTCTCTTCAATTTTTCGTTGCTGCATGCCTTAATGGAACCTATTTATAGGAAATGAAATCTCACTTACTGCACAGTTGTATCTTATCCCGGTAATGATTGTTATGTAACTGTGCAAATCTTACGTAATTGCTTACGTTAAAGCTATATAATTGCTATATGATTGCTTTGCTACTGCACCTATTCACGTTCACTTTCTGTACATTCCGCTGCACCTATTTTTTTTTAATAAAAAAACATAAGAGATCATGGTAGGATTTGATCCAGGACCCAACATATATTGTCTCTAAGCTCAACCAGTTCAACCACTAAACTATTTTATTTTATATGTTTATATCATCATACAAATTTATAATAAGTTATTATTAGTAGGTAATATTTATAATATAATTGATTAACACATACATATATATACATATATATATATATATATATATATATATATAAATATATTTATTTATTTTACTGAACATAAAATTTAATAAAATAAAACACTATATACCCTTTTATTAATATTGTATAAAATTTGGGATGTTACATTGTTTGCTTTTCTCGGTGATTTTAGGGATCTTCACTCTTGGTTTTGACGGAAAGCATGACTTTGTTCTCTTTAACAGATTTATGCTTTCCAAGATAACTTTTTAGTTCATCAATTTGTTAAGGAATAAAACATTCAAATGAGATTTGTCATTAGTCTCAATAAATAATGAACATTTAATGTATATGAGACAGACTGTATGTTTCATATGATTCACATTATCTTATAGACATTCTGTATCTTACACTTTGTCTAATAATCATTTTTTAAGACATTTTTTCTAGTAAAAATGTTTCATTTGTTATAACATTAAAATTCCAAATCTTGAGGAGTCTAAGATTTCCTTTTGACTTATCAATCTCCTGTTTTTTGATGGTGACAAACAAGTTTTTGAAATGTCTATTTTTCTTTGTCTTAGAAAATATTTTTGTTTTAGTAAGACTAAATGATTTTTAAATTTTAGCAAAGACTTTTGACTTTTTGAAATGCTTTTATCTTTCAAAAGATATTTTTCTTAAAAAGAGAAAAAGAGATTTGGGATCGTTTTATCATAGTGATGTAAGGCTCACATCTAAGACATTGTAAAATCATTCAAGCAAATTGATTTTTATGAGTATGTTCTTTAAAGACATGTATTTTCTCACCTTCTTTTAGTTCTATCACCAGTCGATATGACGTTTGAGACAAACTAAGGGATCACAATAAAGCAACAAGAATGAAATTCAATTTTTATTCTTAAAGCATATCAGATTAAGTGTGCATACATATGAAATCTAGTCTTAGCATCTGAGAGATTTAAGACATAAAGTAGAGCATACAAAAAGGATTTTATATATGGTAGAATATGCTTGTTTTATCTCTTTCTTATCATGCATATCAAATTATATGAGTAATATAGCATGTATATCTAACTTAGGTGCTATATCCAATGCATAGGGGACTCCCCTTGAAAACATCCATGATCTTTTACACACAAGCCTCTTCATGCTCAACCCCAAGTATTTTTTTTACAAACAAGTCTCTCTAGGTTCAAATCTAAGTATTCTTTTATAGTTAAACTTATCTAGGCTCAAAACCAAGTATTCTTTTACAGATAAGTCTCTCTAGACTAAAAACCAAGTATTCTTTTACAGTCAAGCCCCTCCAAACTCAAAACCAAGTATTCTTTTAGAGTTAAGTCTCTCCATGCTCTACCTTATAACAAAGGTTATGAAGGTATTACAAGGTTGCAATTGTCATCTCTTTTAGACATGATTACAAAGAATCGTTTGACTATAAGAAAACTTTTAAAAACGATTTTCTAAGAGATGAGTAAAAATCATTTTTCTATATTTACACTTATATTTTCTATTATTACTTATTCTTGTTTTTGAGTTCCAAAGCTTCTTATATAGTAGCTTTGAAAGAGATGACCATCGTAACTTCTTGAATCTGATTCATTGAACTGGTTCATCTTACTCCTTTGTCTGATCTTTAAAGAAAAGAAGTATTTGTTAGTGCATTAAATGCTTCAATTAATTGTACTAGTATTATCATAAAATACATGTATATTATTTT